GCACATAAAATGTTTCACAATTTTGGTGTAACATGCTGCGCGCGCACCCTGCGCACCCTGAATTTCCAACACTGGTGTTAACCAAATTCAAAGGTTAATCATAGTAAAGGCTTTATTAAATAGTAACAGGTTTGAGCCGCAGACGGCTATAGCGACTTGTGTCTAAAAATCGTGGATTTTCAAATAAATTAATTTATATTCCAAAGTTGTTACACAAACTTACAAAATCCATTATGTCTTTACCATTTTAATAAACAACAATATTTTCCATCTTTTCTCATCAGGTAACATCGGATAAAAATCTTAGTTTCGAGTAAAAAGTAATACTGTTTGAATAACTATAGCTTTTTACATAAATCAACGCGAGTTTGGATTAATTACGTTTGAGATAAACCCGATTCGTTACACAGATCGTAATTTCTATTTTTATTTTAAAAAAAGGTTCATACCACAATAAGAAAACAGAATCAAAACAGAATCAAATATATTAGAAACACGCAAGTAGGTACTATATTATAGCTGTTATTTCGTTCAGTTCAAGCTTTAATTAAATTGATATAACTATTAGTACTTTTTGATTCATCAACGGCGCAACTTCGCCATTACCAATATCATCATTGACCAATTTTGCAAGTAAATTAAATTCTTTTCAAATGTTTTAAATGAATGCTTTATTTTTTAATAATGAATCCAATTTTTTATGAATGTCATCTAAGTCACACCAAATATGAAATTCTTTCGAAAGTGATGGTGATTTGGAAGAAAGCAATGGTATTATTATTAATTGTATTGGTGATACTTTCGGAATCATTAGAATTCTAGTGATAGTAGTAATGGAATTGAAGATAACGAGGAAGAAAATGCAACAAACAGTAAAAAAACTCTAATGATGATAGCGAGGAAGAAGAGGAGGAAGAACAAAATGAGGAATGTGTTGTCGCAATAGTAGTTGAGAAATTGGGTAGTTTGATTTAATGAAGAAGAAAGTGTATTAGATGATGTTGGTCCAATTTTATCTTGGTTCAGAAATTTTACAATTTATATTAATATTCAATCACCAGTTTCCATATATATATATATATATATACACACACATTTTTTTATTTTTATTAACTTGCTATATTTTTTTAGCTTTAATTATAAAATTTGATATTGAATTTACTTGAACTAAAAAAGGTATATGGAATTTTTACTTTTCGTATATATTTTAATCACACATACCATGGACTTCAACAAATATGTTTTGAATCAATTCCTAAGATTAACAATAAAATTTGGGAGAATATATAATAATAATGGACATGTAAAGCTTTCTCTCACGTGATCGGATAATAGTAAGCATTAATTCAAAAACAAACTGGATTTTTAAGGATTGTAATAGGGGCCAATGCAACATGCTTACATATGTCAAAGTTTTTTAAAGTACATAACTAAACCTTCAAGACTTACTATCCAAAGAAGTGTAAAATTTATGAAACCTTCCCATATGAACCATGCCGATCATATGGCCTTTGTCCTTAAATTTAATTCATTTATTCAACAAATAAATCTATGCCCTCCGACACTAATACTAATACAGAATGGATGCATTCAGGGTAAAACGTATCCGTAAATGAATAATAATTAATTATTCCTGGGTAACATATAAGCCCTGGTGGGCCCTCCTGGTAGGGGGGAGAGCTTACATGACCCAGGGGTAATTGTTTTAAAACACTGGGTGTAATTCGTGAGAAACAAGGATGGCTCATTACATATAATTTCGGAATAGTCCGGTCAGAGTATAACTTCAAATATAATGTATTGGTGCCAATCATAAGCTCGTTGAATGTGAGGCTCTCAAATGAATTTTATAATGAACGACTGAGCCTTTATGTGAAAAGAAAAGTAAAATAATATATTTTAGACTTTTAATATGGTGTATACTAATATATTTATTTACTTTTGATATTTCTCTTCTCACATTTGAAAATGAAAATAGTATAAAAAGAAAAATAATGATGGTGAATGAAAATTATAAAAAAAGAAATTGAATATTATATTATTATTACCTAATTTAATTTTAAAAGATATATATTGATTTGATGCCATTACCATGTTAAAATCGTAACTAATCAGCAATTTGATTATTAAAAATTTTGGTCAAATATTTGGAATAATACGTGTATATATAGTTCTGTTATAAACAATAATAATCACTTTTCACAAGATCAAAATAAAATAAAATAAGTTTTATTTCTTTTTTAATACATTAAATATAGTATGCCTTACATGTGCATCCATATAAAAACTTCCTCATTGATAAATGATCTGCGAACTAAACTGTAAAATATAATAGTGCTACTACTATCTATATAAGTAAAACGTACCATTCAATAATGAACAATAAAAAACAAAAAACGATTAAACCTCGCATCAAAACAGATACTTCTTCAAAATCGGAGAATTCACCTTCACAAACGCCTACATCACCAAAAAGAAAACAATCAAAAACACCATCTCCGCAAACAGCAACGACATTACCTCAAAAAATACAAAAAGAAGAACAAGAAGAACAACTTAAACATAAAGAAAAAAATGAACAATCACAAGAAGAACAGTTAGAGCAATCAGTTCAGAAAGAAGATCAAGATCAAAAACAACAATCAGTTCAGGAAGATCAAGATCAGAAACAACAATCGGATCATAAAGAAGATCAAGATCAGAAACTAGATCAGGACCAAGTGTTACAACAACCTGTAAAAAGAAGGCCAGGCAGACCACGCAAATATGCACCACAAGATCCTTCAAAACAAAAAAAGGCCATTAACAATGATCCAAAAAGATTTGAATACACTCAAGGCGAAGGTTCAACAACAACCAATGGAATGAATAGTATAAATCAATTAAATTATGACAAAATACTTGATGAGAAAGGAGAGAAAAAGATCACCAAAGATGGAATTTTATTAGGAGGTAAAAATTTTTTATTGTCATTATAGCTTTTTATTTAATTACAAATAATAATAATAATAATAATAACAATAATAGTTATTATTATATAGGTAGAAAATTTAAAGTGCCAGTTTTTCAATTACCTAGTGATAATACATGGTATATGTTATCAATGGATGCAGCAAAGGTTTTGGGTTTTCGTGATAGTTATTTATTTTTCTTAAGAAATCCATCATTACAACGAGTTTTTGCTACCGAAGAAGAAAGAGAATTCTTGATCAAAATAGGAATCTTACCTGCTGCATATCGCAGTAGGAATATTACTTTGGTGTCAGCTAGATCTACATACAGATTATTTGGTTCTAGAGTAATTCATAATGGAAAAAGAAAAAAAGATGATTATTTTGAGTCAAATTTGAGATATGATGATGATTTAAGTGATAAAGGAAATGATTCAGAAACTGAAAATGCAAACAATATCCTATCAAAAAAATTTAACAATAAAATAACAAAACCACGAAATCTTGCAAATGAGGCTTCGTGGATGTATCAATCAGCACTTCATGCCAGAGATTATAATACTAGATTGAAAATTCACCGTAAAGATAAACCTAAATTTTATGATGCTCATATCAATACTGAACTAGTCCCACAAGCGACACAGCCAACTCGAATCAAAGTGGAAACAATTTCAAAACCTGTATTTTTACCACTAAATAGTAATCATTCTCCAAAAATTCCTAAAATTAAATTTGAACCAACACCTTTTAATCCTTTAAAAAATTTAAGCCCAGAGATTTTAGAAGTAGTGCCACCTGAGATTTGTAAAATTATTGATGATATGAATAAAAATATTAAAGATGATTGTATTGATGATTGTATTGATGATGAACAAGATAAATATCCTATTGCATTGATGGATCATCAATTTCAATCATCGTATCCATTGTAAGTAAATTAAATGAAAAAAAATTTTTTATTTTAAAATTTTTTGTTTGCGTTTATCCTATTAATCTTGAGAAAATAATTATGTGTATATATTTAAACTAATTAAAATATAAATTTTGAATTAGGCACCGAACACGTTTTGGCCATGAAATTCCTGAAGCTTTAACAAAAAATTTTAATGAGTTAAATTCAAATACAAGTTTATTACAAAAATCACCATCTGTGCAATTTCCATTATCTAAAACTAATTTTACATTATCATCGCCAACAATAACAGCACCAGAAACACCAGAAACACCAGCTATATCAACAATAGCAGACATATCAACAATAGCAGACACATCAACAATAGCAGCCACGTCAGTATTAGCATCACAATCAATCCCACAACTTCCAGAGAATGTATGTGCAATGTGTTTTTCAACAACTTCACCTGATAATACAATTCCAATTAATGATGCGCCATGTTCAAATGAATACACTACAAAATGTTCTCACTGTAATCGTAATTATCACCCTTTATGTTTAGGACTTACTACCACTAGACTAATTGTTGCAATGGAAAGTTACCCATGGCAATGTAATGATTGTAAAACCTGTGTTGTGTGTCGAACATCAGGTGATGAAGCTACTTTACTAATTTGTGATGATTGTGATCGCGGTTGGCATATTAATTGTAGTGAACCAAAAGTTAATGAAGTTCCCCAAGGTGGTTAATTATTTATTGTTACTACTACTGCTATTAATTATTATATTAATATAATTGTATTTTTTTATTAATATTTATGTTTGTTTGCTTATTTATTTATTTACATTGAAATAATTAGGTCCATGGTTATGCTCAATTTGCGCACAATGCAATTCATGTGGTGAAAAGGCCAAATTGTTGGATAATGCAGCAAAGGATTACCTTCATCTTGAAGCAACGTCAGGCCAACCAAGTTCAAACTATCCAATTTATTTAGCTACAATATGTAACAAATGTAGTTTAAACTTCAAGGCAGACAGGTTTTGTCCAATGTGTTTGAAAACATTCTCCGAAGAAGGAGCAATGGAAGAAAATGAAGATGAAGATCGTGATATGGTATGTTGTGATGAGTGTGATCGATGGATACATGTAAGATGTGATCTTGAGATCACTCCAAATAGATATGAGGAATTGCAAGAAAATCCTAGCGCAGGATATAAGTGTCCACTTTGTGAAGGGAGAATTAAGGAATTAAAATATGGTGACCAGAAAGAACGTGATGCATTGGCCGGTAATCCTGTAGCAAAACCTGTTGCACAGGTCGCAGGACGTAAATTGATTAGGGGTATTGTGGAATTTAAAGGTAAAAGAGTTGTGGTACCAGAAATTTGTGGGTGGGGAAAATTGGCAATGTAAATGAATTTAATAAAATTGGTTGGTTGGTATTGTAAAAAATATATGGAAATGATGTGAAGGCTTTTTGGTTTCAAAATATATATTATAGTAAGAAAATCTGTTTATGTTAAATATAAAGAATGCTAATTATAATTACATGACTTTGTTTAATTAAAATTTTTGTTTCAATACAATAATACAAATAATATATATTTTCTAATTTCAAATAATGATGATTAGTATGTATCTGATAACATAAAATTTAAATCATAATGAAATCCTAAATTCTATAAGGTGTAAAATATTGTATTCAATATAATTTTTTTTTAGAAAAAAAAAACTATACACCAGAAAAATTATTTTGCCAATTCACCAGCTAATATGGTTCCAAGTTTTCCATATTTGTTTAAATCACTTCCAGTAGGTGCTAAAAGATGTGGTCCTTTTTTTGTAAGATCTGGTAAATAATTTGCAGGCATTCCAAATCCAACAGATGTCATTTCCACCAGATATACAACAGCTTGGTGTAATTGTTTGCCATATTGACTTATGATTGTTGACCACATATCCTTGGGAGCTATCATAAATAAAAAAATAATATACTATTTATATCATATTGTATGATAAATTTTAATTTTCAAATAATGCTAACCTTCAGGCACAACAGGATCAGAATTAAGTTGTGGAAACTTTTTTTGTTCAGGAAGCTCACCAATTCTCCAAAAAAATCTCCATTTTGGATCAGGTCTTTCTGAAATCAAAGGTCGACTTTCTTTTGGCATATTTTTCATAAAATAAATAAATAAATTATTATTATTATTATTATTATTATTATTATTATTATTATATTCACTATTGTGATTCATAATTATGGAAGTTTTCATGTTATATACATATATATATATATATATATACTTGTTCAATTATCTTTTGACAATTAATATCACGATGACATTTTGGTTCTTCTATCAATTCAGGTGTTACACCAACTTGGTATCCAACTTCTGGGCGCGCATCTTTAAGTTTTGTCTTTTTTTGGGGGAAGTTTCAATTAATACCACACCACTACCAATAATACTAAACATTATAATCATTATAATCACAATACTTCAAAAGGCTGATCAAAATAATCTTCAAGTAAATCCTAAATAAATTTGAATAGAATAGAATAAATCGATTAATGATTGATTTGTTGAGTGGACAGTGAGAGTATATTCAATTATCATGCTTACCAAAAACCTGGAATTATCATCTTCCGTCACACGAGGATCTTTAATCAATAAGGCACCATAATCTTTTAATGCTTTTGCTGTCTATTAGATACATGTACACATGCAAAGTTTACTTTCGATTCACGGTTTTCTTAAAAGTAAAAATTATATATATATAAAAAGGAAAGAAAGTGTAAACGATTTCTATTAACTTTATGACATTCTTCAATTGCCAGTTCAGAATTCTTATCATTCAAGTATAAACCAAGATCAATAATTGGAAGACTACAAGTTATTGTTGACATTTATTATTTTTTTGGTTTATTTTGTTGTGGTTGTTGATTATTAGTTTATTGTTTTTCGTTATTATTATTAAATATTCTTTAAGAAAACCACTTCAGGAATAATAATAATAATATAAAGTATATGTAACACGAATTTTTATATGGAATGAATGACTACAAGGAGTGGGATAAGATAGGTTGTGATAAGGATACTTGTTGTAATTAAAAAACTGGCTACAATTAGGTTACACCTTTAATTGCAGAATATTTGTAAGTTTAATAATCAGGTGGTATAAACAAGCGGTCAGCATTTGGGTGTGTTGTATATAGTATTTTATTCTTCTGGATAAAAAATATCACAATTAATGTTTACATCAAAATCAAATAAGATTTAGCAATTATCCGAATTAGCCACGTGCGCAAACTTAAAATTCCAAATTCACGCACAACTCCTTGGATAGTCCAGCCAAATTGAAGGAGTTGACTAATTCAACATAAAATTTTGGAGAGCATCTAGATTTTACTTCTTCACATACCTTGATCGCAAGACCTAGAATGTGTGCCAAATTAGCAACAGTTTGAGTTAAATCTATATATTAATATGCCTGATACCAGGAGCTAAACTCCATTTATTTTATTTTATTTAATGATGCTTGATTGATAATCACAATATGATGGATGGTTTGTTGTATGTGGATTTTGCTTTAAACCAAAGATTAATCAAAGCTCTGAACAAATTAACAAAATCCGAACCAAATATGTACTAACTATATAATACATATTAATATAAATGAATCGTGATAAATCTTTTAAGCACATTGCTATTTATTTAAACATAAAAGTAGGCAAATAATTTTGATGATAAAATTGCTCAACGCCACAATTGTACTATTGTGTAGATTGATCTCTTAACTTCTTATTGATTGTTCTCTTAATCTATGTCCTACTTTCTCGCAGATAAGTTTTTCTTTTGTAAAGGCACAAGGTACATTTGCAAAATCACCACTATAAAGGTTTCTTATCACATTCTTTATTACTGAACACCAATACCAACTATTATCCATTGCTGATGTTTCTCGGAAATTTTCAATGGGGACTAAATTTTCCTTTTTCCATCATCCCAAATTACAGACAATTTTCAATTCTAATTGATAAAGCGATGAAGGTGTTAAATATTATTATTAAATTTATATTGGTAAAAAAACTTTTTTTTATGTAAAGAAATACATCTACAGGCATTTTTCCTATATGTATACTTTCTAAGCAAAAATCCCAAATTTTTTTTTGGTAGAATCTTTTTTTAAGAAAATCGTTTCATTAGAAAGATTTGCAACAACAATAATAAATTTTCAACGCACTTTTGCTTTCCGCATTCAGGTATGGAATCAACTTAAATAAGGTATATATACATTACCAGAAGAAAGAGCAGATGAAAGCATTGTACTTTGTATATTCAAACCAAAGCTATCAAAAAATATTTAGATGAAGAGTTTGTTATTAACGAGATTCATCAAAAAGAGGAGAAAGAAAAAATCAATCAATAGACAGATGCGTTCCCCTTCCTGTTATCCAATTGCAATGTCTGTGGTGGCAAAAAACCACTTCTACTTCCAGTATTTTCTCTACTCTATCTACTTTTGCAGATCTCAAATGTCAAGGATTTATGTGATAGTAATTATTGCTTCAATTAAAAGGATACAGCACTCTTTCTTTGCCAATGCCGCCATTTCCTGTTAAATTCCTCATGCGTTAAGGTTCTATATGTGATGGTTGACTATTACTCTGTTTCAAAGTCACAGGGGATACTAATTCAACTTTTTCATCAATGGTGTAAATCCCCTGTCAAAGAGTTGAGAGTGATCAGAAATTCAGGAATAAAGAAATTAATAAAATAAAAACCGATCAAAGAATAGAGAGTTTACTAACCCTAATTACAAAATCGTCGTGTTTATTTAGTGGCTTTCTGCTCATTAACACAGACATATACAATTTAGGAACGTGGCTCCCTGACGTATAGAGGCTTTGGTGGGCTCTTAAAAACGAAGAGACCGAATGCAACTTATAAAATTTAAAGCCCCCACCCACAGAGAATTATCCATTGCATCATATCCTTCAAGTTCAGGAGGTGAGATTAACCTTTTTTCTTAAATGATATAAAAAAAAGCCTGTGCAAGTTTTAACTTGTCCACTCGGCAGCATAAATTGAACATTATTTTTATTTTCATCATTACTATTACTATTCTCCTTGTCTCCTCCTCCTATACTTTCTTTAATTATTTTTATTCTCCTGGTTTATTCAATACGTTGAATAGCTCTAAAGATAATTTCAACAACTTTATCAACAGTATTACAAAATTCTAATTTATAGTTCACGGAAATGCTTCAAAATGTGTGTTTTAAATCCACCCTTCTGTTGACTTTTGATATTTCCAAATTGTTTGCAAACTACCTATTCTAAAATATATCTTGGAAGAGATGTCATCTCTAGCTTTAATATTTTGAAAAAAAAACAAAAGTATAAAGAAAGTGAATTACTTTTTTATAATGTCATATATTCATAATATATTAGATGTAACTACTATATATCAGGTGCCACAGATCACAATCTCATGTGGTCGGTCAGTGTAATAAATGAAAGCTTAACGTGCAAGCTTGATGAAGAATTTCACTGAATGAATATTTAAATAAAAATGTGAAAAACGTGAATTTAATGATATCAAACTGTCCCTGTGCATACAAGCATATTGCATGTGCTATCAAGATAGATAGATATTAATGTGGTAATTTTTGAACTTGAAATTTTTTGGAACTAATGTTTGAAGTAATTTTTTTGGATTCAACACCATCCATCTATTATTGAATTATCAAATCCTGGTCTATTTTAAATTCATAAATCCTGGTCCCATTCATCATCTCTTGAGAAATAGCTATTTAATTCCAACATTCCTGGAAAGATTTTCAATGAGCTCTCATCACATGAACAAACAATAGCATTTAACTTTTATATTAATGGATTTCTAAAATTTTATTAAATTCTTGGAAATCATTTACTAATATCCAAATGAATGTGAAGTTGTTTATAATCTGATCCTTTTCTGACGCCTGTGAATAACATCAGATTTACGTGTATAATCAGGAAAAATAATTTTTTTAGATCTTTCTTTATTCATTTATTCTTGTGAACCCTAGAGATCTGGGTAGACACACATCTATGTTTACTACAGGAAAATTTAATTAAATCTGACACCTGTGATCAACATCAGATTTATAATCAGAAAAATAATTTTTTTATATCCTTCTTATTCATTTATTCTTGTGAACCCCAGATGTCTGGGTAGACACACATTGTTAAAAGTTTCATTTCTACTTGGGTGATGCAATTGTTTGTTATATCAATGATGACATCAAATGTATTGCATAATAATCATGATCATCATGAATATTTGATGGATGGAGGCATTCACATGAAATGATTAAATAGCTGTTATTTTTTAATGATATTTGTTTTAAACATTAAAAAAATTTTTTTCTAATTAAATTTTTTTGATAGTCCAAAATCAATCACATTCATACACCTTTGAAACTTGGACACACAAACACTAATTTCATAATAAAAAAATCTGTTTTACTGTTTTAGTATATTAACACAAAACAATGATTTTCTTTAGCCGTTTTTTTTAGAAATAACAATACTTCTCTTTTATTTATTTGTTTGTCAATTTTAGTCTGATCAATAAATCCTAGATTATTATTATTATTATTTGTAAATCAAATAGTATTCTTTTGATCTTTTAAAAATGTCTATTTTTTTTCAGATTAACGGGTTTCGGATTAACGGGGTTTTTTTTATAATCCGAAGATATTATTATTATTAGTCATAAACGGGATAATAAATTTAAATTTAGGATTTGATCCATTTTCTGGATATTTTGTTGATCTCTCATGATATGAATTTGCAGTGAATTGATTTGGATCCAACGATAAAAAACAACCACTCTTTTTTTTAGAATTTCAGAAACAGTAGATTCACTGACATTATATTTAGATGCAAGCTGGTTATTTTTATGTTTGGGTTATTATTTTTTTCAATGCATATTTCTATTTTTTGTGAGATTGTTATAGGCGTATTCATTTTAACGGGTTGCCTATGTATATGGTGTGCTAATGATGCTGATACGAACCATTATAAATGAAAAGACTATGTGGGGAGACAGACGTGAAATTAAAATATATGTGATGCTCGGATATTAGACGAAGCTCAGATCTTACTAAATCATCAGAAATGTTATCTCAATACTTTTTAAGGCGTTGAGCGAAAAAAATTTTATACCAGAGAGAATCTTTTTTGTGTGTGTAGATTTGAAACAACAACGAATGCTGGTTGGAAACAATTTCGTGTGAACCCACTGGCTTGATTTTACTTTCCAACACCAACTGAGAATGCTCCTGACGATCCCAAAAGGAAGATATTGTAGCGAACAAATTTCATTGTGTTGATCATTGAAACCAATTTTCTTTGATTGTTAATTAAATAATAAATAATAAAAATATTTTATTATTTATCACTTTCTAATTCTTAAAAGACTTGCTATTTCATTTTGGAGGTGAATTTTATATTATTGTTTTTTTGCTATAAAAGGTTTTCTAAACAATCTCTGATGTTGTACAATATAAATTACATTTCTTTTTTTAATTCGTTCTTTATTATTATTATATTGTACATAACTTTGCATTCAATTTTTCTTTTTTTCCATATCATTTTCATTCTAATGTGATATTGCACTCTTTTTTATTTTAATAAAATATCAAGAGAAATCAAAATATTAATTATTTTTCTTTACAGTAAGATATATATATTATATATTATATATTATTCGAAGATAAATATTTAATATCATGGTAAATTTTAAATCAAATCAATTATTCTAAATCTCTATTTTTCAGAACGAATGGGATTTTATAATCTTAGTTTTATACTTTTTTAGATGTTGGAAGTTGATTCGAAAAATAATAACAGTGTTAACAGCATTTCAAATACAATCAGGAGATCATTTTCTAACGTAGGCTTTGATAAATCAAAAAACAATCATAATGATAACAACAACGACAACAACGATAAATCATCTTTAAATACCAATTCTACATCAAATACTCTTAAATTGTCTAAAAAAAAATCTGGCACATTATCACCTTCTAGGATAAAATCTAAACAAAGACCTAAATCAGAACTTTCAATTAAAAATAATAAAAAAACCTCTCAACCAGATGCACGTGTTGATGATACTTTAAACACTAGTTTGGCTGGTGATCTAATCTCATATTCAAAATCAAGATCGATAATTACAGGATCTCACTCACTTTCAACTACGCCGTGTGAAGAAGACAATAAGGATTTCTCTGAAATACAACCACCCTCAGAGTCACCTTCAACTCTACCATCAATCACAATCACAGATCGTCATCATCATCCTTCAGTTTCATCACAGTCGTCCCTTAGTTCCCCATCTACGACAAGTTCAACCACCAGCTCATCATCATCATCATTACAATCTCCGTCCACATCAAATGATACTAATGAATGTATTACTACTTTTTTAGCTGCACCACGCTTAACGCAGCGTGTTAGATTAAAATCAGGAAGAGTTGTTAGTTTTTCCGAAGTTGGTGATAGGAATGGGTTTCCGGTGTTTGTTTTTCTTGGGATGGGGTGTGTAAGATATTTTATTGCGTTTTTTGATGACTTGGCATCTAGCTATGGATTGAGACTATTATGTCCTGATCGACCTGGAGTTGGACTTTCAGATGATGTTAAAGAAGATCAACAACACATATTAAAATGGCCAGGTTTGTTTTTAATAATTAATAACTTATTTATCGTATAAATTTCATTCATCCATCATCAATCAATCAATCTATCTGTCTATGTGAACATATTTATTTCCAGTTTAGAAAAGAATCTCTTATCATGTATATCAATGTATCATTTGCTTTTCCTATAAGACATTAATAAATTTTATAGGTACTTTTAATTTTTAAGACCCTTGAAAACTTGTAATGAACACATGAAATATTGTTTTAAAATTTTTTAAGTTTTGGGGTCCTAATTAGGTGAGGTGCCTTGAAAAAAATTATTAATGTATTATTCGTATTATTAGAAATGTTGGGAAAAAGCAAATGATATAAAGTCAGCATGAAAAGTTAAATGAGGATAATTAATATTGTAGTAATGATAGTGATGATAGTGATGATACATAGAAAGAATAATAAGATTTTATAGATAAACTAATTTAATATATTAATATAATAAAATTTTTTTTAGATATTATTAAAGAACTTTGTGAGATTCTTAGTATTGATAAATTTTTTATAATGGCACACAGTGCAGGAGCACCATATGCACTTGCATGTGCTATTAAAATACCAGAAAAGCTTCAAGGAACTATTTATCTTGTTTGTCCATGGATCAGTACAACAGTAACGAATAATTTCAAGTGGCTTAAATATGTACCCACACCTATAATGAAATTTACACATACAGCGGGCATTTCCCTACAACAAATACTTAATGGTAAACAACCATACTCAACAAAACCATCACACCAAAGGAATTCGGGAGCTTCGGCATTACCAACTTCAAGCCTTGAGAACAAACAAAAATTAGGAATGGCGATATTGAAAGCATCGTTTGCAGAAAATTTATCAGGAGCAAATAATGATTTGATGATGTGTTTCGAGAGGCGACATTCGTTTGGATTCTCATATACAGATATTGATCATCCTGTACATGTATTTCATGGTACAAAAGACGACCGTATTCCTGTAGCAGCAGTAAAATGGATGGAAAATAATATGCCTGATTGTAAGTTAACATTGATAGAAGGCGGAAAGCATTCGTTGCTTTTACGTGCTGAAATAGTTGACACAATATTTAAAACTATTGCCATACAATTACACGATAAGGATAAATGTAAGGCGTGTAAACTTTCATCAGGGTGTTGGTTGATGGAGTAAAAACAAATCATTCGGTGTCTTATTTATTATTAATAAGCAAAGAAGAAAATGTATCATAATAATGTATTTATACATGATTATTGTTTAAATTTATATTTAAGAAAAAAATGTACAATAATAACACTAATATTGCATTAATGAAATTCATTCAATTAAATTCAAAACTTTTTTATTTATTAATTAAAATTTAAATTTGATTATTAAACATGAAGGGAATCAAAACTAATAATCATTCATATAATAGAATATTATCATCATATTTTAACTTAAACATGACATCATCATTTAAACGTACCATTTAAATCCCAAATTTTCATCAATATTCACCCATCCATCCATTATCAACTGAAATAATAAAATGAAGAAATTATCAGATAGTTATAAACTTATTGTTACTAAAAAAATGAAACATTGTCTAATTTTGCTTTCTTTTTCTTGTTATTATTATTGTCAGATACCGTACGTAGTCATTTGTCACCATCATGCATTCGTAAACGAATAATATGGAAGACGTTTTTGATTTTATCATCATATTTTGTAAGAAAGCGCAGCACATAAATTTATATTTACACTTACCAATTTTCTTTCTATTGAAATAATGTATCATCATCGCTAACGTTTTCCTTGTCCTTGTCTTCACTTAAACTATGTGATCCGCTGTATATACCTCAAAAACTGAACATGTGAATATTTAGGATGGACTGTGTCAGACAAATTTAGAGGTACGTTTTTGAATAATGTTGACAACAATACACCTGTCTCGTATTATCCCATTGCTCATTTCTACTTTTGTTGACTTTGTCAGTAAATAACACTTAATTCAACGCTTTTGTCATACATTTCCTATAGTAATGCATCAGTTAGCACATTATTTGTCAATGGAAAAAAATTCATCAGGTGCAGATTTATTATTTGACTAACCTGAGCATATTTCATATTTTGCTTGATCTTTGAGAAGATTTTTAATTTCCGAACGTTATCAGTGTTGGTTACATATCACCGCAAAGCTTCTGGGCCTTCCTTTGCACTGATTTGTAGAAAGAACAGTTTGTGTATAGATCAATTTCGCATATGTTGACAAAACGTCCTTGGGTTTGAACTTGTGTGGTTGACATTCTCTGCTAAACACTGCAAAGGCTCCTGCAATGCTAATCGATAACTTCTAGATAAGAAAATTTTAAAGCATGACGTATAAACAAAAAAAAGAAGTAAAGTTTGGCTTGACATAATACTTTTGGTAGAGAAAACAAAGGAGTTGGCTACTAAGAGGAAGTTTAATCCGTAGAATGAACTCCATCAAAGAGGGTCATCCTCTGAATTTCTCTACCAAACATCAGTCGCAAGGGTCGCTAAGCACTGAGAAAATTTGGCTCGGCATACACGAGCGTAGGAAGAATTATGTCCAATATGTTAGACACAAGACCAAAGGAGTCGGCTTTAGAAGGAAGTCCATCCAACAAGATGTATCACCTCAAAGAGGGTATGCCTTTTAACCTTGCTCTAAACAACAGCCGCAGGGTTATGAACGCTAAGCACAACTCGTCCATACACGGGTGCTGAATATTGCAGATTGCCAGATGTGTGTGCATATACACACTTTCCTTAACCAATTTTCTCACAAGAATAAATTAACCAGCATACAAAATGTGAATCCTTTAAAAAATAGATTCAGGAAAAAAAACAAGGTGATGTAAATTATTTTTTATCAAATGTTATTTGAAAAGACAAACCTTCTTCACGCAGTCAATAACATCTTTTTTTTTATTACATTTATTATCGAAAAAAAGATCACAAACTATTTCATTGGCCAAATTTTTGTCCCAATTTATCACATCTAATTGACCTTTTTTAGTTACACTGTGAATCTCGCGGCAATAGAAAATTTTCCAAAATCTGTTAGAGATATTCACTATATCGAGAAGGTTTGTTCTTTGAACTTTATCCGTAAAAACGAAATTTTTAATTAGTATCCGCTAAATCGAGATTTACTATTACTGTGTATATCCTCTTAACGACTTAATTACACTTAGGGAAAACAGTAAAAACTATTTATTTATTATATTTTTTTTATTTTATTAATATCAAATAACAATGTATAAAGAAAGGATTTAATGTGATAATGATAATAATAACGGTCGCATATCAGTTTTTTCCTGATTGTATCCGTTTACCATAGATCCTTTTTTTTTTTTTGAAAAGAAAAAAATTTAATTAATGCAATGTATACATACCCTGTAATAGTTTATTAATAATAGTATTATTCAGTAATATCAACTAAAATATTTTGATGTTGAATTTCTATCACTGGTAAAAAGAAATAAATTCAACAATAATTGAATGTGTACAATTTAACTAAAGCTACGCAAGTCGAATTTTTTTTACCAATGTATCTATTTTCTAAAATATTAATATTAATGATGATAATGGTCGCGTAATAATTCTTTCTGAAAAAATTAATTAATGCAATGTTTGTATACAGACACTTTAATCTTAGTATATATTGATAGTAGCATCAATATATATATATATTATTGCAGGTTTTATATTTATGAAATGATTAGGAAATATCACATGGCCAACTAATTTTTATTGCAATTTCTCCAAAATCATCTTTATGGCGCAGTAGGTTGTGGGACTTAGCATCACATCAGTCGATTTTCCCTTTGCCGCTTGATGATAAGGAATTTATTGCAGCAACTCTAGAACAAATTCCAAACTTCTTTCAACATTTTTTGATCATCAACTTTCAACACCCTTGAGCGGCTACCTCTTGGTGCATCTATTAAACCTTCTGCATCTACATGACGTTGAACAGTAGACTTTGGAGTTTTAAGTGTCCCTTTTAATGTTACTACCACCCTGATGTATTTTAATCTAATCAATTTTAGCTAGCCCATGAGGACATATGTATATAATCTTTATTTAATATTAATATCTAAATAGTTAAATAATGATATATAGAATAATCAAAGCCTGTGAATGAATATTAATATGTTACACTTCTTTTAGATGAACCAAATCATTTAAATTCCTTAAACCTTCTAAATATGGTAATTTACATATTAGACTCATAATCATGAAGAGTTTCATCTTGCATATTAATCAATAGTGTATATTTCCATTTATATATAAAAAATTTTTACTTCTTGTAGCGTGATATGAATTGTTGCATAATTTTCACGTGAAAACAGCATTGTGATATGAATATTGGCTTTAACAAAAATAATGCTGGCTTTTCAACCCATGAATGTTGTTCATAAAATGAGATTACTCTACCAAACACAAGATTTTATAAAGCCTAATAAAAAAGACCAAATTTGCATACCTAAAAAATACTTGGAGACTGCTTCTAAACATCTTCTCCCATGGATCACAATGTTGCCTTCTTCGAACTTCATTAATATTGTTTTTAGCTGTTATTTCTGTGGTGATTTTATTAAAAGCGTTTCCATCCATTGTTAATTGAAATTACATTATGAATTTTATCAGTTGTAATATTTAAAGTTAAACAGCATAGTTTAAACACAAACTTGATTTAATTAAACATGCTTTCAGTTATACGTCATAAATAGTTTGATTTATTAGCATGTTTGAAGTACGGTAAATAATATGCATAATGAACATTTATTTTATTGTGCATAACAATAAAAACAAAATGATTGTTGGAGCTAAACCCGTTCGAATAAATTTAGCTCTAAATAGCATGCTTAAGAATATTTATATTGCCATATTACGTGGACTTATATTTCGAATTTGATTGCTCAAAAGCCTGTTTTGTCAAAAAAGTTTAATCTGCTTGAACTCTAAAATTGGATTGAGCTGAACCTAAGCTGGACTGACGAGCAATGGTAACATCACTATTTAAAGTATTATTCATAAAAAATCTCTGAAATGCATCCGGCTGTTAGTAATTGTTATTGCTGCTGTCGATTATTTATGATTTTTGCTCTTTTAAAATTTACAACTTGATAATTAGCTCCAATGAAATAATTTACAAATAACTTTTAACGCTCATGTATCCTTGAAAGTTAGTAGAATGTGTTGTTGATGTGAATCATAAAAAAATTTGATTTGTCCCAATCAGGCTTTAACAGTTAATTTTAATATTAATATAACCAATGATGACTTTTTTTCGGTCACAAATATTAAATTTGTTTGGATATTTTTTATCTCATTAAGAAATACTTCTAAATATTTTGTGAATTAATATGTATCAACGCAACAATTTTAATTCATTTAAACCATCAATCTATGTTATAGTTGTTCACCATAATTGCCATTCTTAATAAATGATAATTGCCATATCTGTAATAACATAGTAGTTGCCAACTTATCTCTGTAATTATTTGGAGTCAAATATATAATTGGTTATTTTATGTTCATTTATATAAAAAATATCGAGGATCCATAGTTATTTCCATAATCATTTTTCCTCCAAAAATAATTATGGCAAACAATTATAATCCATGTTTACAAAACCACCTTCATCTATCTTCTCTATTTGTTGGATCATTACAAGAAATCCATTGAAGACAATAATAGCCATTTTGTGGGTCCACCTAATACGGACAATTCTCAGTAGGATTATCCTATTACTATATCCTCTAGTTGCAAGGGGGATAGGGTAAATAGCTATATTAATGTTACTATATACACATCTAAACTCGATAAGTCGGACGCAGCAATCAATTGTTTAGAGTACTTTATAATATAAATAAATGTCCGACTTATCGAGTTTAGATGTGTATATTAATAAGGGCAAAATTCTGACAGAAAATTTGCTAAATTCACTGTGATTATTTAAACGTCGGTTAAATTCCCCCCGGACGAGGTAAATCAGGTTTATTAATATCCTAATGAAAAATTCATTCTTATTTATTTTGTATCTAAATCTAGTAAGTAATGTTACATTAAATAAAATTTTTAAAAATAAAATCTTTTTCGCCTATTAAAATTACATTATTATTATATATATACAAATATATATACTTTAAGTAAGTGTATTGGATGTATATTAGGTGTATATTAGTATTAGTATATAAATTTATATTTCTAAATGTCATATATTATCGTATTGTTATCATTATTAGTTGGTTTGTTGGTTATTGATTAGAAAAAATCTCACTCAAAAATGCTATGTAAAAACAAAATATCTCGTTTCCTTAGAGCAATAAACCAATCACACCGATTGCAGCCATTGTAACAACCATTACAAGATTTCCATCAAGTTTATAACCAACACTTTTTTTACTATCAGGAGTTGGAGTTACCGATGCCGACGATGGTGATGATGATGTTTCTACAGCTGGGACGCTGGTTTTTGTAGAGTTTGGAGCAGCAGTAGGGGTGTCATCAGCTGGTAATTTTCCCGCGCCAATCACTATTGTACCAACCATACCTTGTTTACAATCTGTGCCTACATCACTAAAATAATATAATTTGCCATATGGTTGAGAAATTGTAATTTGAAAAGTTTTCCCAACTTCTTGGGATGGTGAAGCAACTTGTTTACAAAACCACCTTCATCTATCTTCTCTATTTGTTGGATCATTACAAGAAATCCATTGAAGACAATAATAGCCATTTTGTGGGTCCACCTAATACGGACAATTCTCAGTAGGATTATCCTATTACTATATCCTCTAGTTGCAAGGGGGATAGGGTAAATAGCTATATTAATGTTACTATATACACATCTAAACTCGAAAAGTCGGACGCAGCAATCAATTGTTTAGAGTACTTTATAATATAAATAAATGTCCGACTTATCGAGTTTAGATGTGTATATTAATAAGGGCAAAATTCTGACAGAAAATTTGCTAAATTCACTGTGATTATTTAAACGTCGGTTAAATTCCCCCCGGACGAGGTAAATCAGGTTTATTAATATCCTAATGAAAAATTCATTCTTATTTATTTTGTATCTAAATCTAGTAAGTAATGTTACATTAAATAAAATTTTTAAAAATAAAATCTTTTTCGCCTATTAAAATTACATTATTATTATATATATACAAATATATATACTTTAAGTAAGTGTATTGGATGTATATTAGGTGTATATTAGTATTAGTATATAAATTTATATTTCTAAATGTCATATATTATCGTATTGTTATCATTATTAGTTGGTTTGTTGGTTATTGATTAGAAAAAATCTCACTCAAAAATGCTATGTAAAAACAAAATATCTCGTTTCCTTAGAGCAATAAACCAATCACACCGATTGCAGCCATTGTAACAACCATTACAAGATTTCCATCAAGTTTATAACCAACACTTTTTTTACTATCAGGAGTTGGAGTTACCGATGCCGACGATGGTGATGATGATGTTTCTACAGCTGGGACGCTGGTTTTTGTAGAGTTTGGAGCAGCAGTAGGGGTGTCATCAGCTGGTAATTTTCCCGCGCCAATCACTATTGTACCAACCATACCTTGTTTACAATCTGTGCCTACATCACTAAAATAATATAATTTGCCATATGGTTGAGAAATTGTAATTTGAAAAGTTTTCCCAACTTCTTGGGATGGTGAAGCAACTGCATGTTTAGAAAAGAAAATTAGAGAAATCCATATAGAGAAAAATGATAGATTAAAAATATATAAATATTATTATTATTATTATTATTATAACAATTAAAGTTCCAAAACTTACATGCTGTTGTTGATATAGATTTTACACAATTATTTGGTGCATCAGATTGAATAACGCTATGTTGAGGACTTACCCATTCCCATATAACCTAATCGAATGAAAATTGCATAAATTTTAAACTTTGCATTTATAATTGTATATAAAATTTAAATAATAAAAAGACTTACAATATCTTGTAAATCAGCATTAATAGTTTGAGGTTCATAAGCGAACTTTCCTACTGGAGAACCAACTTTAATATTGTGAGTCACAGAAGAACAATATGCAGCAGCTAGAGCAATGATTAAGGTAATAACTATTAATAATTTGGTCATTTTTTCTTTAAAATATTCTTTATTTGATATTTTGTACGTTATTTCTTTAAAAGTATTGTTCTTTTTTATATTTTACCAAGAAAAAAAAAATTTGAAATTTTTTCTTAAAAATTCAAAAAATAATACATTGGGCCTATTTATATGTTTTTTAACTCACCAGATGAATTTATGCACATATATGCAGAGTGAGCATAAAAATAAATTAATAGTAACAAAACCAACGTATTACTCATATCACAATCAGCCATATTAGGTAGGATATTGCCAATCGTGATAAATTATAAATGAAAATTTATTCATTTAAATATTAAATTTGCAACGTTTTCCAGAATGTTAACAAACATTTACCTTACAATCTCTTTATCAGCCAAAAATCCATCTACAAATCTATCAATCATGAGTTTAGAGTTTTCATTCATAACTATCCCTACAAAAAGTTTAGATACTTATTTCCTACTACTTATTTTCTACTTAATTTTTACAAAACATACTTGACATAAATCAAAAAAGATGATTCACTAATTATTTGCAAAATATACTTATTTTATAATTAAAACATTATTATTTTTTACAGTAATAGGAATGTAGATATCCTAATCATACACTTAAAATATACCTCTGAATTTTAATAATTCTTAAAACATACTTATTTTCTTGATTTTGTAATTTACTTTTATAATTTGAAATACAAATAATAAAATTATTATTTGATTGATTACACAACAAGGGTATTAGCATCAAACAAGGCGATGAAGACCAGGGAGCAAAATCTTATTATAAAATTCCAGGCATTCTGATAAAATTTTAGAATAGGCCATTTTCCAGTTGCACATTTTTAATATTAATACAAATTCTTATTTAAATTATTCGTTTTAGTTTTATTTGAATTGTCCATTTTATTTGTTTTATTTGTTTTATTCGGTTTTATTCAGTTTTGTTCGTTTTGTTCAGTTTATTCGAATTATTCGAATTATCCGTTTTATTCAAATTGTTCGTTTTGTTCGTTTTGTTCGTTTTGTTCGGTCTATTCGTTTTATTCGTTTTATTCGGTTTTATTCGTTTTGTTCGTTTTGTTCGTTTTATTTGGTTTTATTCGAATTATTCGGTTTTATTCGAATTATTCAGATTATTCAAAGTATTCGTTTTATTCGTTTTATAAAATATTAATCCACAATTTGATGCAACAAATTCTGTATTAATATTAATATTATTGTTAAGGGAGTTTAACTTTGTAAAATTATAAATAAGGCTTATTTCCTTTAACAAGATAATATAAATTACAATAATTTTATTTGATAATCTATATTACTACTACTATAGCTACTAGTACTATGACTTAAGAAAATGTCAATTATTCCTATTTATTTATCATCACTGTATAAAGGGACTACGAATATCAATATTAATGCTAAGCAAAAAAAGCAAATATCATGATCACATTACATTGGTGATGACTAAATTCGAACCCTGAAATACTTGGTAATACCAATGTTCACTTTGTCAGGTTTTGTTGCAGTATGCCCCCCACTTTAATATATATATATATATATATACAACAACAAAAATTTAACATAAAATTCAAATCAAATTCATAATCAATACATATAAAAAATTAATCAAAATTATTCTGAAAGTATTAATAATAATGATTCTAATATTAATAACCAAGACTTTGTTCCTAATGATAACCACGCCAATTACATCAATCAAACCACTACAATAATTACATTCATCAAGACACTGGGGACAATAACCTCGGTCACCAAAACAGCCAGAACTCTGAAAATGATTACTTTAATCAAAACTTTGGCAACAGTAATTTTGTTCATCAAAATAATATCCCCAACCAAAACTCAGGTATTATCAGTAATTATAGTTTCGTTGACCAGAATCTAACTATTATATACTACAAGCATTAATCATCCGAACAATTTTTTTGACAATAGTTTTGTTGACATCATCAAAACTTGAAGAATTTCATTGATCAAAACAACAATGATCAACTACTTATTTACATAGTGTCTCAGCTTCAAAGTCTCCAAGACCTTGTAAATCAATTTTTGGATAACAATAACAACAATAACAGATAATTCGTAAATCAATATTAAATAGCCTAATAACATCAATCAATTTATTATTTCATTATTTTTTTATAATTTTTATTCTTTATTTTCTAAATATACTTTTTTTATATTTTATATATTATTTGTAAATCCGGTTGTACTAATCATAAACAGTATTAGTATATATCTGGAGCAAAAAAAAATTTAATCTCAGAGTTCACTCATGTACTACTTGTTATTTTTTAGAAAAAAGGTGATTTAATTAGGGCCCAATAAACGATGTGTTTATTTTCTATTGAAAAATACAATTTAGAACGAATTACTAAAATCTTATCAAGCCTTATTATTGTTACTATAGATGAACAAAATTAATAGTATTTAGTTTTTTACTTGGTGATTTAAACTCTAATGTAATAGATCAGTTATTGCACGCATAGCATTCAACAATCACATAAATGAATTGGCTAAAAAATCAGGATTGTATATTATTGCAATGACACTAATTTACATGAATTTCATTAATAAATAGGGTGTAACGCCATGCTTGGTTTTGACAAGAACCTTTAATGAAAAATTCCTCCTACCACCCCTCTTCTTTTAATGGTGTTATAATTTACAAATATAAATTCAGTACATGCGAAAGATTTTTTAATCGATTGGAACATTTACTCTGTCATAACAGAATATATATATACTGGAGAAAGACCTCATGAATGCAATTGGGGAGAATGTAACACAAGATTTTACAGGTCAGATGAACTTTCGAGACATCGTAGGACTCACAATAAAAATAAGAAAAAAATTATAGAAATAGAAAATTAGTGCTTCGTCATTTAAAAATAGTACTCTACAAGTCAAAGACCTTTATCGTAATAATAATAATAATGTGAACATTAATTGGAATGGGAACAATCTTCCTTCTACCAATAATGATACTCCTAATTCTTTGCACATGTTCATCTTTGCAGAATTAACTATTTACACACCATCATCATCACCCTATAAACCTGATCTCATCTGGCCAAAAAACCAATTCTGGTTGCACAAGATCATTTACAAGACATGTTAATTTCTCAAAACATGTACAAAAATGTCAATTGAAAAGAAACATAAAAGATGAAAATAATAATGGAAATGGAAATTATGTTAATAATTTTTATCTTTATAGCATCAACGAAGGTATTATTATTATTAATAATGGTAATGATATGATCAGAGTACCAATTACTCCTATATCTACATGTAGCAGCAAGCAATGATAATAATAGCGTTAGTAGTAGTGGTAGTGATAATAATAGTGTTAGTAGTAGCAGCAATTATTCCTCAGATAATGATGAATTTACATCTACAAAATTTACATCAAGAACTAGAAATAATACAACTCCATCACCTTGTACCACAAATGGACCAGGTGTTCATATCCCCCCCTGCTTATACCCAATTAATACACACCATCACTGCCATCATGACAACAACAATGCAATAGAAGTAACGCCTACAATATTCAGAGCACCAACATCATTGAATAGTAGTGGTAATTATGCAAATTATCCTCTCGTTTTACCACCGTTATCAGTGGTTCGATGTAATATCACCTATACACATTTAGAAGATATTGTAAGATTTCCTCCTCTTTGGAATTAATTATTTCATTATATTGATAACAAATCACGCAATATTACAGATGATTTAATATATTTTTTCTTCTTTGTTTTTGTCTTTTTTTCTTCTTTTTCATTAGACTCCTCCCTTCTCGTTTTACTACTCAAAAAAATTATACCCTTTTATTGTTTTAACTAATAGTACTATTATAAATTATAGTTTTATCAAAAAAAAAAAATATAACTAATAAGATGATTACGCAATAAGAAGTCGTAATTTTCGGTGGGACCTACATTAGATTGTTGGTTCATGATATTGGAGGAGCACTTGGTACCTATTTTTAGATGTATGGTATTCGAGTGTATAACATTCGTCGTGCAATGCAACTAGTAGAAGTTTAAAAATATTTTACAAATTTATAACACTCCGGCGTTCCCAGCATTGAATTTTTCTACTGTCACGAAGGTGAAAAACATCTAGCAAAAGAAATGGAACCTGAATCTGAATCCTTTAAACTTATTATTATTAATTCGTCAGTTAATTTTGTATTCCTAAACAAAAAAATTATAAATTCGAAATATTATAATTGTATTAGTATTAGTATTGAATGATGTCATTTCACATTCATTTGATTATTTATTTTGACTTCTGACATCAGGAGAATTATGTATTATATTAATTATTCATGTTTGGTCAAATTTATTTTCAAACTAATAATAAAAATAAACAAAATAAATTATTTATCTACCCATCAATGATTCACTCAATTATCCAACTTTAACCTTATCAATTAAACTATATATATATTATCATTATAATTAATTAATAAACACTTGTATATTAAATTAATAAATTTCAATTAATCAACTATTTGATTTGCCCTATTAAATTATATTTCATAGTTTAATAAGCTATCATTACTTAAATTCAATTTAGCAATTTCGTCATTTAATATTCTACTTGTATGATATGCTAATGGATGTGATTTGTGTGCTTGTTGTGAATTACCATTATTACTACTACTACTACTATTACTATTATTATTATTATTACTACCACTACCACCAATATTACTACTACTTTCATTAGAACTCACAGTTTCAAATTCATTACAAGAAAAATCCTGAAGCTCTTTACTAGTTGGTCTCTTGGTTGGATCTATATCCCAACATCTTTGCATCATTTGTACATAATCACCTGGCATTCCTGGTAATATTGGTGGTCGTAAACCTTTGCATATTTTTAATTGCAAATGAAGATCATGTGCCTCATCATCAAATGGTGGATGACCTGCAAATATTTCCCACATTAACATCCCAACACTATAAATATCTGTTTCTTTTGTGTATTTTTTTCCTCTAAATAGTTCTGGTGCAATATAAGGTACAATTCCATAAAGTTTATTTGATGATTTTTCATCAACTGGTCCACATAATCCTAAATCTGTGATATAACAACCACCTCCACCCATTAAAATATTACCACTATGTAAATCACAATGAATTAAATCTTTTGAATGTATATAATATAATGATTCACATAAATCTGTAAAAATCATAATTCTATCCTTTAACATTAAATTATAATGATTTTTTTGTATATAATCTTTTAAATTTCCATCTGGATGATGATTAAGAACCATTGCATAATTTCCATTTTCTGGGAATTTAGTTATACCATAACAAGGAGTAATTTCATATGATGGAATTTTACAATAATTCAATGCCTGAAATTAATTGATTTAAAATAAATGGATTATTTTATTTTATTTTAAAAAGATCAATCACCTCATCAAAAAAAGGTTTTCCTGGATTACTTGAATTATTCAATGATTTCAATACTATATGCTGACCTTCAAAATAATTAAACTCTTTTTTATTTTCATCATAATCATTAATAGCTCCTCTTCTCCACCCAGCAGTATAAATAGAACTGAATCCACCTTCTGTTAACTTTTTTATATTGTAAAATTGCTCATAAGGTATCCATTCTATGATTTGATCTGGAAGATATGAAAGCTGTTGACATTTTTGAATAAAACCATCAATTATCTCATTTCCAGATGTCCATGTACTGAAAAGGCTCTGCAAGTGTAGACTAATACACTTTTCACAATATTTGTCAGAGTATCTTGTTGTTTTACAATTATTGCATTCTCTTGATTTACCC